ATCGATGTTGGTATCTATAGCGAGTATGTATTTTCGGCGGCCTCTGTCTGAACCTGTTCTATATAGTTCATTCCATCAGCGCAAATTATCAAGAATTTCTTGTGAAATTTTGTGTTCGTTAGTTGCGTCCATTAGTGGCCGACCCGGTGACACTTCCAAATCGAATCTCCAATTCTTGGTGGTCAAATTCGAAACGACCTTTGGGTAAAAAATGTACTTCGAAGTAACAGCCGATCGGTCGATTTGGCGCCAGCGGTGTCATTGGTCCATATTTTTTCGAAATTTATTCTTTAAATATTGTGAAAGTTTGCTTTCCTGATAAACATATCACCAAAAAGTTTATTTTGAGTAATTTAATTAATTTAAAAAAATATATATATTTATAAAAATATGTACATATGTCAAAAATTGTTGTCATTATTTTCTGTTACTTAAGGCGGATTCATCGTTCTATGTAGTTCTGAACCCTTTATTCTATGGAAGAAATGTTCTGAACTAAAACGATGAAATCCGCCTTTAATGTCAGTTTCACGAAAGCAATTTAAGTGAAAAATTTAATATTTTTTGTTCAGTTTACATGTTAAACTCAAATAAAAAAAATAATTTTTCACTTATTTAAATTGCTTTAGCGAAACTGACTATTATTAATGTGGAATCCTTTCAAATGTGTAAAACTAATTTTTTAATATTTTAGTTTTTCTTGTTACTTTCGTAGTTTATTTTTCATTTTTATTTTTTTTTTAATTAACTTTACGCTCAAAATATCCTGGTGGGCTGTCTGTCCATGGCATGTCTAAATATGCATCATGCAAGTATGTGCTTATTTTCTGTTACGCGTAATGGATGCAAAACTCTTTACAACTCTCTTATTAAAATAAAAACGCTTTTATGCTGTGCTGTGTGGTGGGTTTAAATAAATTAGGCAAGTTAAAGCTAATAAACTCCTAGGTTTTAGGAAGGTGGTACGGGGGAGTGGTCTTTAATATTTTTTCAACATTCAACCGAACTTCCTCGAAACTTTCGTGGAATCGTAGAAAGAAAAAAGTACATATATTTTTTTTTTTATTCCGCCTGCGCACATAATTATTATTTTAGTGGCAATGAGAAAAGAGTTCTCTAATTAATTTCAACTCTTCTAATTAACTTGCATTT